GATAGATATGCAGAAGATCCATACAAAAGACAATATAGCAGATTTCATGACGAAGGCGATCAATTCCGATAAATTTACCTGGTGTCGATCCTCCTATGGCCTGTCAGAGACGTAAGCAACATAAAGGTATAAGGTAGAAAGAATGGTGTGAAGATATGATTGTTACAATCAAATCTTCATGTGGGAGATTGTTGAAAAGTCAACATAGAAGTGGCCAAATTGATGGCAAATTTCGGTGGAAAATGTGCACAATAAATGCACCAAAATTAGCTGGAATTTTGGCACTGAAAGTAGTTGGAAAATGTTGAATTTTGGACAATGGTAGAATCATATTTTTAGCCATTGTAATTTAGGGTATTTACAAATCAGTCCTTAAGTTTCAACTATAAATACCCTAGCTCATTTAGCTTTAAAACCATCCCAAAGCATTCTAGCTTTCTTCCAATACTAGAGAGAATTTATAGAGTTTTTTTAGAGTTGTTTTCTCCTTTTTATCAAGAGAGAATTATCATTGTTTTCTCCTTGGTAGATCGAGAGAGGTTGTAATTCCTATTTTTCTCATAGTGAAATTCTTCTACCATTGCCCATGGTTTTTACCCTATATTATTTAGGGGTTTTTCACGTAAATTTTGTGTCTCTTTTATCTTTATTTTTATTTTCTCAAATTATCAGTTGCGATTTTGCTCTATCCGATGGTCGTCTTCCGCAATAAAAATATCATCCACATACACTAAAACATACGTGGAATCTCTTTATGGCTAACAAACAATGACGTATCTGCATGCGATGCAACAAACCCTAGCTGCAGCAAGCCTTCCTTCAGTTTATTATGCCAGCTCCTAGGAGTTTGTCAAAGTCCATACAACGCTTTTTGAAGCTTTCACACTAGCAGAGAGACATCATCCGCATACTTCTCGAAGCCCAGAGGCTGCTGCATAAATACATCCTTATTCAAATAACTATTGGGAAATGCATTATTATCATGCACATGCCTCAACATCCATCTCCTTGTAACTGTAACAACCAAGACAATGTTCAGAGTTGCAAACATGACAACATGACTAAACGTGTCTTTTTAAGGCAATGAAACTTCAAACACCATTGCAGTGCTCGAACTTGAGACCTCTAAAGATAACAACTATCCCTTAACCACTAAAATAGTTTAGTTCGTGAAACTTTAAAAAAGTTAATTGAGGATGCATAAGACAACATTTTAATAAAATAATAATAGTGGAGGAGTGAAAGAATATTGAGATTCTTAATTCTATGGAAGAGAAATTGGAATCTAATTTCTGGAAAAAGGTTGTTCTTTTAAGGCAACACCTTTCTCTATCTTCCTTATTGCAAAACAAGCTGCAACAAACAACTTAAATCTATCAAAGTTGGGTCTATTCAACAAATCTTACAAAGATTCTTTAGTTCTATGTTTCAAACATTTACCATTTTTTTAGTTTCTAAGAAATTTAATTTGGTTTTTATTTAATGTTCTTTTTCTTTGGTTTTTGTTAGATAGAGATAAAGTTTTATAATGATGGAGGGAAGCATCTAAGTGACCTAGTTTTTATGTTTGTTGTATCTGTTCTTTTATGAGGGGTTATTTCGAAAAGATTATTCTCTTATAAAACAACGAGTATGATACAAGGATTAGACTAGCATGATCTACATGATATGTGTTAGAGGTAAGTTGCCACTCTTTTATGTCGCTATGCCATATGCCACATCAAGAGATTAGATCCGTTCATTTATAAGTGCAGTATGTGATACGTCATAGGGCCTCAAAATTTAGAGACTTCACTTTGAAAAAGATGTCACGATTTTGTTTTTAAGAGTGTTCAGAGGATGATAGTTTTTTAAATAAAATGTAATGATTATAGAGTTGTTTTAACATTTTCTTAATTTTATATGTTTAGATTTTTTTTTATTTTGTAAGAAACAATTATAATATGATAAATTTTGATATTTTATAATTTCGTCTTTTGGGATGGGTTTGCAAGAGATTATAAAGATTAGACTATGCCACATTTTAGACTAATTTTATCCTTTATTTCTATTACTTTAATAAATTAAATTATTTTTTAAATAACTTTTTGAAAGTAGTAAGTTACAAATAAACTAAAATAAATAAATCAATTTATTTTTTTCCCAAATAAGGTTTTAAAGAGAGTGGCTTTATTCATTACCAAAACTCCAATTAACATCAATACACCATATAGTTGAGGTTTATACTTTATACGTGCGCATACCATCAGCGCTACAATATTGAACCAAAAATACCTGGAGAATCTTTGGTACACTACAAAATTAGTGTTTCCAGAAAATAATCAAAATTATATTATTAGAAAACGTTTAGCATATCATTAGTAATAAGTTTAATGCAAAAATAAGTTTCTAAACTATATTTATTTTAACTTTAGGTGTTTCAAGAATTTTTCGGTTACCAACATTATTTTTTTAGATGCCCGGTCTATCAAGACCGTTAAAAAAAATTCTATTATCTAACATATGTCATGTTTATAAAATTTTAACATCAAAAACTTAAAATTGTAATTTATACATAAAAAAACTCAATTATTTTTTCTAAAAAAACTCAAAACTTTAAAACCCTAACTCCAAACTTCTACATCTACATTGCTCGCCATTGATGTTCCTCTGATCGTTGACCTTTGTCGTCAACCACTTCATTTAATCGGATTTCAACGTATGGTGGGAGAAATTGTCGCCCTTTGCTTGAATAATTTAACCGGAGTTATCACCCTGTAATCGTCCATTTTTCACTGCAATTGTGTTTTATATTTAATTTCATCTTTTTGAATACATCTTACCTGGTATCTTCAAAACAAATTAACAAAATTTAAAGGATAAACTATATAAATAGTTATTTATATTTAAGTTTTTTATTGATATTTTAAAATTAACGATTTGATCACTAGAATTATTGATTTATATAAATTAGTTATTCATTGTTAACAATCGTTACTAAACATGACATATTATTAATGTGGCACGTTAACCCGTTAACCTTGGAGAAAAAGAAAAGATTCAAAAGCTTCGACGTGCAAAAAGATGTTTTGAAAGTACATATATTCGCATTGTATGAGAGGGATATCCCCAGTTATTTTATATTAATGATTTTCAAATCGAACCATAGGTTAAAGAGGCAACATTGATTGCCTGTTTGCCTTGGCTGAGAGTCTGACATCGTCTTCGCCCTCGATTTTGCTCTTTTAAAATGTTTTTTTCTACATCACTGACACTTTATAGAAAATGGAAATGAAACCCCCAAGGCCGACGAAAAAGTCACATACGATGCGAAACTATGCCAACTCTGAGATAAATACACCTAGATCTTAATCGCCTACGCCGAAAACGTTGATTCCAACCCGCTCTAGAACGTTCACAAGGGTCTCTCACGTGACTCAGTTATTCTCATAGGGAAGAACAATATGCTGAAAAGGTCTATTAGGATGTATGCTAAGAAGATTGAGAACCAATCTTTCCTTAACCTTATCCCTTCGCTCTAGGAAAATGTGGGTTAGATCTTTACCAAGGGTGACTTGAAGGAAGTCAGTGAAGAGGTTTCCAAGCACAAGGTTGGAGCATCGGCTCGTGTTGATTCGGTTACATCCATTGACGTGCATGGTTGTTCCACCAGGGAACTCTAGGCTTGACCCATCACAAACATCTTTCTTACAAGTGCTTAACATCCTAACCAAGATTAACAATGGTATTGTCGAAATCATCACTCATATGGAGCTTATCAAGAATGGTGACAAGGTCAGCTCTTTTGAGGCTACATTTCTTGCCAAACTCGTGGTCTCATTGTCCTATCTATTTATGATAATGGCTCAATCTTTAGCCATGAGGTCTTGGACCTCACCGAGGAAGATCTTATTGAGAAATTTTCTATTGGTTTTCCATGGTTACTGCACTGTCTCTTGCCATCTTGTACCTAACCTTTGTTGCTGCATCTTATACATTTATCAATGCGTGCAAAGAATGTCTTGTCTGTTGCAGTTGCAACAAAGTATTCTTTCCCGCATGCTGATAAAATGAGGGAGTACTTGGCGGATCCTAGTAATTTTGTAGCTAATGTTGATGTTGGCTCTGCTCCTATTGTTGTCGTTGCATTGGAGGAGAAGAAACTAAAGCCTGAAGAAGTAGAGATGGACTGAAACTTTCAAATCAATATATATTTATATTATTCTTTTTATTTTCTATTGAAAATCTATTTTCACTCATAGAAGAAGTTTATAAATTTGTCACTTTTTAAAATTTTTAAAACTTGTCGTCATAACATAAAATCTTGAGTCCACCAATGTGAAGAAGAGTTTGATGATGATATGGGATTCTCTTTGACTAAGGTTGGATTAATTCGCATAATATTATTTAACTTTTTTAAGACTTAATTAAGGAGGGGACTTCTCTACCGGTTATTGTAGGAGGTTGTCTTGCGTGGCTAAATGGTTTCAAGTAAGCCGATTAAAGCGCCACATCAGTATTTCGTCACACTCAATAACGACGGTTATCGACAAGTGATCGATTTATTATAATTCAATAATATTAATGACCATTCATGTAGTTTATTCAAATTTCAAAAATATTAAATTATAAATTTTGTAACTGAATTTTAGTCTCTATTATTTCACTCATTATACTTTAATTTTTTTTAATTTTCTCACTGAACTTAATACATTAGATTTTTTGTCACTCGGTCATTTTTCCATTAACAACGTTATAAATGAGATGTTGTATAGATACAAAACGATGTCGATTTGGTAAAATTTTATTTTTTTTAAAACGGTGTAGTTTTAATGCCATTAACTATTTAATGGAGTAACAAAAAAAACTCAATATATTAAATTTTGTGAGAAAATTAAAAACTTTTAAAGTCAGTAAAAATAATAAAAAATAGTAAAATTCAGTGATAAAATTTATAATTTACCCATTTAAAAATAAGAAGAATAAAAAGTTAGAAAAACAAGAGAGTTAACTCGGAGAAATGAGTAAGTGATAGATAAGATACGCGACGACACGAAAGTGAATTTATAACCCAAAAACCGCAAACAGAATCTTCTCCTTCTTAATTTCCATTCACATTTTCTCACCCAAAGAAACCCAAATTTATTTTCTCTCTCCCCAAACAACAAACACATCTCTTCCACACCTCATATACATAATATTATTTATAAATTAAGAAATCGCTCACTTTACCCTCTCTCTCTATATGATATATTAATTCATAGATCTTACCACTTTCGTTCTCATTTCGCCTCCTTTCCCCTCTGCTTCAACAGATAACCAAAGGGCACGAAAAGAAAAGAAACCATAGGAAGGAAAGACAACAAATTTTGAGAGGAAACAACCAAGAATCGAAAATGGGTTCGGTTCCACCAGAACTGAGCTGGAATTTTAGACCCACTTTTGTACCCAAAACGATCAGTAGTTTCCTCAACGAGCTTTCACTAATCGGAAACGTTTCTGACAAGGTTTCAAAACTCGTCGCTTTTGTTAAACGGTTGGAAGAAGAAATGAAAAAGATCGATGCTTTTAAACGTGAACTTCCTCTCTGCATGCTCCTTCTCCGCGATGGTTCGTTTTCTTCAATCAATTTAAATCACACCTTTTTTTATTCTTATTAATGGGTTCTCTTTTGATTGAGAGTTTTGATCGAAACACGTTGGCCTTTAGTTTTGGTTTTGGGTTATTTTTTTATTGTTTTGGTTAAAATCGATAGATTCTGTAACTTGGGTTTTGGTTGTTTTGAGTTTGCAATCGATGTATTGAATGCGATTTTTTTTTTGTTTGATTGCAGCCATTGTAGCTTTGAAGGAGGAGTTAGTGCAATACATGCCTAGAACCGTTGAGCCAGTTTTAGAAGAATTTATTCCTTTGAAGAACAAGAAGGAAAATAATCAAACTGAAGAAGATGGTGCCTTAATCACCGAAAAAAAGGAAAAAGATTCTAACAATAACGACAACTGCTATAATAATAAGGACAAGAAAAATTGGATGAGTTCTGTTCAGCTTTGGAATACTGATGAAGATGATTTTTGTTCCATCGATAGAAAACTAGATTCTAAGGTACTTCAAAGTGAAAAGAAAAGGAGAGATTAGACCACATTTAAGCTGAACAAGTGTAATTTATAATGAAATAAAATTGCTAAAGATTGAATATTTTTTCTTGGTTTACAGAAGAGAAACGTTGGAGATTCATCTCAAGGATGTAAAAACAAGGGAGGAGCGACAGTGTTTATGCCATTCAAGGTGGATTTGGGTTTTGCAGTGAGGAAGGAAGAGAAAGAGGAGATACCGCTAACGTTTTTGACCCCTGGAATCAAGAATGTGAGAGATGAATCATGTTCAACGCGGTCAAGGACAAGTTGTAGCGGGGCAGTTTCTTCTTCTGCCCCCAATGCTCAGTTAAATTTTCGGTCCTTACCACAGCCGTTGTCTCAACGCCAGCAGCAACAACAGCAGACTGCTAGGAAGCAAAGGAGATGCTGGTCACCTGAGTTGCATCGCCAGTTCATCAATGCCTTGCAGCAATTAGGAGGCTCTCAAGGTGCGCAAATGATGTTAAATTGGTAATGTACTTAGATAGTGACAATTTGTACTCTGTTGTTCTTAGATCTCCTTTTTCTTGCTCTGAGTCGGATTGTTTGTTGTTCTAGTCATCTTAGATAAGGTTTAAGAAGTTCGGTCGGTGGGAGGATAGGATTTGCAAGAAACAGCACCTCTTTGCAGCAATTTTCTGTTCCTTTATCATTCATTTTGAATCTGCTTTAGAGATGGAAAGTATAGATTAAATCCGGCTTAGTGATGTGTGTATAAATTATGTACAATTTATTGAACATGGAGGATTAGATGATGGTTACAGAGCTAGTGACTCTGCATTGATAATCTTTCTGTTGGCATCATTGGCAATTCAATTTTTGGTTCTTTTGCTTTGAAGTTTCTGAATAAAACTTCTCGAGTTTTTTTTGCAGTGGCCACTCCTAAGCAGATTAGGGAACTTATGCAAGTAAATGGCTTGACCAATGATGAAGTTAAGAGTCATTTGCAGGTTGGTTCTTAGATTCATATTTTTTTTCCTTGGTAGTTTGATCTCATAAAAGGAGAAATGTTTAGTGTCTCAATATTTTCCAGAGATTAATGGTTATATGAAGGTTTTTCATGGACGAGAGTATTTGATGGGATAATTTTCCTGCGACTTTCCAGAAATACCGACTTCACACAAGAAGACTTCCGCTATCCACTACCAGCCCTGCAAATCAATCAGTCGTTTTGGGGAGTGGTCTGTGGATGTCCGAATATAAGTACGGAGAGTCCTCGAAGGGAAGCAGTTCCCTGTTCGGTTCTCCTCAAGGACCTCTTCAGCTAGACATAAACACCACAGGGAACTCCACTCCAGGAGGTGACAGCATGGAAGATGATGAAGATGCAAAATCAGAAAGTTATAGCTCGAAAGGCAATATTCACAAACCCGGTAAAGATGATGTAGAGAGAGTTATTCCACCATGAATTCCGCCATCATAAAAATTACAAAATACTATTACTATATTATACATAAAAGCATAAGGATATTGAGAAATAAGGGAAGACTGAAAATTTTGCAGGATTAGTTTTCCTTAGATCTTGATTCGATTTAATTTAATTTTTTTATCTTCTTCCCGAACCAGTACAAGAATTCCAATTATATATCATCCATGCTTTCTCCATTAAAAGAAACATGAACACTGCACCATTCCTATATCATAATTCTATAGCTTCTACATTGCTTGCCTTTAACGTTGAATCTCTGTTTGCTAGTGGCTTTTCTACTGTTTTGAGGGTTTAGGAGTGCCCCAAATCTCCAATAAATTGTTAATCTGACAATGCTTTCTTTTTAGCAGTACGAGTATGGGATTATAAGATAATATTTGTTTAAAAATTTTCTTAGTCTATTGACAACGTATATATACCCTGTAAATATAACTGTTTGAATTTTAATTCTCTAAAAACGATAATATTCTCTTTTATTATCGAGTCTACTAAATGAATTCACGTCCAGATAACTTAAACCATTGAAATTCATTAATCTGCCTTGTACTCTTGAAGTTTAATTCAAAATATCTATCATTTTTTCTATCAAGACCGTTTTCTAATGGAGAATGATGAAGCTTGGTAGATGCTTTATACCTAGAAGAAGCCAAGACTAAAGGAAAATTACATTGGTGGCAGCTCATATTTGATAGAGATATTGCTATCATAAATACATATAGGTTTGAGTTTGAATCATACCCGTCATATTCTTATTTAAAGTGTTAATAGATTTTATGCATTCATATATTTCTTTTATTATGTTAACTTTTAAATATCGAGGTCAAAATTATGATAGCGTAGATTAGGGTGAGCAAAATTCAACTTGAAAATTTGATATTTTCAACTCGACTCGATTCATAAAAAATTCGACTTGAATTGACTCAAAACTTGGCTTAACTCGGAAAAAATATTTAAATTCAAGTCGAGATCTAAAATAGAATTCGAATAACTTAAAATTCTTAATAATTAGTAGATTGATTTTTGAAGTTTAAATTGGGTCTCCCAACTCTATATATGTATATCACACATGAAAAATATAAAGGAATATATATGCATTGTATATGGTTATAGAAAATAATTTAAATTGGAATAAAATAATATTATTATATTATAAATATTTATAAATAAATTTAAATAGAAACTCGATTGACTAGACTAAAAAAATTCAAATAAAATTAAAGTTATAAAATAGAATTCGTCAACTCGAATATCTCAAAACTTTTCGACTCGACTCAATTCAATTATGTCCTCCAATTTGTGAAAATGACAATTAGGCCCCTCAAAAATTATTTATTTACTCAATTTATTCCCTAAAAGCCTCTAACCCTAAAATTGGAGCATGATAGACTGTGCATCCGAAGACATGATATTCGAAGCATGAGGTGTCGGAACATTGCATCTGGAAGCATGGATTGTCGAATGCATGGGGTGCCGAAAACAATACATTCGAAGGCACGTGACCGCGGGTATAAAAACGATATAATTTTCCATGTTTAGCTCTCCAAAAGTCTCAGTTCACTGTTCCCTACTTGCATAACTCACGATAAACAATTATCTACGACAATTCTTTCAAATTAGGGATGAATGTATGGTTTTATGTTAGGTGTAAATTTATAAATTTCAAGAAAAGATAAAATTATAAAATTTTAGGATGACGAAAATATATTTTCAATAAAAATACTAAGAAAATATTTAAAAATATATAAAAGTTTAGAATTTTTAAAGAGAGGACCGCTCTGATCATCCGCTATTCTCTCTGTCTATCCCTGCCATAAATCATATATGTAAAATATATATGATAAATGCAATGTACAAACATGACGAAAAGCATCAGATCTCTTAGTGAAAATAGTTATTTAAGTGGGTGCCCAATTCTCTCCAAAGCATTATATTTAAATTTCAGCATATTCACTCTTTTGCTAGTCGGATGATCATTTACAAAACAAGTAAGTTGCTTCATATATATGATAAACAAATTCATTCGTTTGGCAATTAATCAATAATTGGGGTTTGACCGTAACTACGTGGCTCTTTCTTTTTACCCGGTATGGTAATTTTGGTATATAAAGCTACCAATTCAGTAATTTTGAATCGTTGCTGTATTGAGAAATATGGAAGATGATAACGTAAATATCATCCGGATTTTTTTAATAGTCTAGGGTGATTATAAGATATTATTTGTTTAAAATTTTTCTTATTTATTGACAACGCGCACATACTATGTAGACGTATTTGTTCAAACTCACAATTTCTAAGAAGAACAATACTCTTCTTAACTACTGAGACTACTTGATGAGTCCAAAATTATGTACATCTTTTTTTAATAGTTTAGGGTGATTATAAGATAATATTTGTTAAAATATTTCTTAATTATTGATAACACGCACACACATCCTGCATACGTATTTATTTGAACTTAAAATTTATAGGAAAAATAATATTCTTTTTAACAATTAAGATTACTTATGAGTTTGAAAATCACATAGATTTACCAGAGAATCGGCCGATCAGCCTATCAACTTATGCATGCATAAGTTTGATGATAATGTAATTATGCGGTCTCCATACAAGCTCTTAATTAGTCAAATTGTTTGAAAACATCAATGGAATTTTGTTTTACCTGAGCCAGAGCGACAGTCATACTCCACTAAGAAAACACAATCACTTGCAATGTTCCATCTAAACGATGATGACAAAAGAGTCCCTCTCTCCATCAAATATAATAGAGAGAATCTTTGTATACAATATATAATTAAATGGACCCTACAATAAGGGCTCCACTTTCATACGTTACTTTGTAAAACTATATATATTTTTAAATAGTTATTTTTAATTCTTATTTTTAAAAAATATTTTAGTCTATAATATTTTATTTTGAAATAAAAATATTCATTTCTAGATAAAAATTGTTATTCAATAAAAAGATCAACGCTTCAAAATTGGGTTTTTACTCTAAAATAAAATGTTAGAAGCAAAATACAATAGAAAAAAGAATAAAGACTAAAGTGTCTATTTAATCAAACATTAGAGATCTTTTTATGTTAAAATGATACGTTGGGATCAAAATATTCTAGAAAAAGAATAAAAAAATATTATTTAATCAAACGTTACAAATATTTTTTTAGTGTTATACCTTTTCAATATTGATGGAAGTTGTCACTAAATTCCCTTTCTAAAAAAGGTTGATTTAAATCATATATTTTGCGAGGGTATAGGGCAGCTGTGCAGGGATGGATCAAGATGATTGATTGGGTAATTGTCTTTTAAAAATTTTAAATTTTCATATAATTTAAATATTTTTATACATTTTATTGATAATTTACTTTTGTCTCACTTAAAATTTAATAAATTCATCTTACTAAAATTTTTTAAGTAGTGCGTTAATCGATGAGATTTATAAATTCAAAATAAGAAATAGAGAGAGAAGATGAGACATTGGATTGAATGCATACAATAGGGCAATCACATTGTAAGGTCTCCTCGAGTATCACATGGCAAAGCTTTATATGGCATGCATTTTCATTTGGTCCTACTACTCATGGAAACTATTCATATCAAAGATTCCTTGAAAGACCAGCCATAGGTTATGATCCTTAAGACAACACCATGATGAAAGTTTTAACGGGAAAGAAAAGTATTTGGTGATAAAAAGGAATGTTATTAAAACCGGACCGGACCGGCCGGTTGAACCGTGAACCGGTGGCCTGTCCGGTCCGATTAACTCCCAAAACTGGATTAGCATAGAACCAGTAAAGAACCGGAAGAACCGACTGAAAACCAGGAAAACCGGGGTGAACCGGCTGAAAACCGGCAAAACCAGTTTGAACCACCGGTTCACTTTTTTTCTTTAAAAAAAAATTAAATCAAACGACGTCGTTTGTTCAACGAGCCGAGTCAAATTCGAGTATTGCTGAGCTTGGCTCGAACTCGAAAACTTTAAAAGTAAGCTCAACTCAACTCAAAAACTCACGAGCTAAAAATTATCAACTCGAAATATAATATTAAAACTTGAAATCGAAAAGGCTCGAACTCAAAAAAAAATTTAGAAGTTCGATTGAAGCCTAAAATTTGAGCTCAATTGAAGCGAAAGAATAGTTCGTTTTGTGCTCACCAAAAGGCTCCATGATTTTGAATGTCAAATTACCTCTATTATTTATAGAAGTAAGTTGGGATGCTCTTCTATGTTTCTTAGCCATGTGGGATTGTTTTGTTCTCATATTTTTACTCTTTAAACTTTTGGGATACTCTTCTATGTTTCTTAGCCATGTGAGATTGTTCTTTTTTAAAACAATTAAACCAAATGACATCATTTGTTATGATTTTTTAAACCCCAATTTTATTTTTTTGATTATAGTTATATAATTATATTTATTATTTAATATGTTTTACCTTAAATATTATGTTGTAGTTGATTTGAATCATTTTGTTTCACTTGATTTTATGGTTTTTTATTTATACATGTTATGACTTGTGATATTTTTATACCTTTTAATATTGTAAACTTAAAAAAAGTGTTACATATATATTAATATTACTTTGAATATTATGTAAAATTAAAAAAATATATTATTTTATATAAAATCCGGTTCAACCGCGGTTGAACCCGATTGAACCAGTGAACCAGTGAACCAGTACCTTCATCGGTTCAATGTCCGGTCCGGTTTTGAAAACATTGATAAAAAGCAAACCCCAACAACACCTACTCAACACATTATTCCTTTATATTCTAACCCCCAAGTAATGTCAATGTGTTTCTTCACTTTTACTTGCTTGTAATCGTCTAGATTATTTACCTTGTCCATGACCCACGAACAAGATTGAGCTCAATTATCAATCTAATCTAAAGTATAAAATAAATCATTATATGATAATAAAATAAAGATATTATTTTACAAAAAAATGTCATGTATTCCAATATATATATATATATATATATATATATATTCACGATTAAGTTGAATTT